ACACACACACACACACACACATAAATACATACATACATACATACATACATACATACATACATACATACATACATACATACATACATACATACATACATACATACATACATACATACATACATACATACATACATACATACATACATACATACATACATACATACATACATACATACATACATACATACATACATACATACATACATACATGCATGCATACATACATAAATACATACATACATACAAAAAATGTCGTTTATGAGGTAGATATCTTTTTTTAATTTTTGCAATGAAAATAATAATCATACTTAGAATTAATTTTTATGCTATAAATAAATACCTTAAATGGATTTCGTAAGCATGAGGTCTATTAGAAAGTAGCATGAAAGTATCATGAATTAATGAATATTTTGAATGAATGAATGAATGAATGAATGAATGAATCGTATAATAAAGGGATTTATTAATTATTATAATGAGTAAAAATAAGTTTTTGTGACTTAAAAAATGACGCATCTCATCAAAATGTGTGGTCATTTTCAGTCAATCTTTACGTGAAGTAAATCTTGCACAGGGCCAGAAATTTGTTAGCATGCTCCTTTAGATGCTGACTATGAATCCATAAAAATTGATTTAATCGAACACAGTTGGGATATGTATAGATGAATACTTACCTTCCGTCAATTGTGTTTTCTGCGCTGACATGTATATACTGGTACGGCTGTCAACGGCTGAACGGCTGTCTGTCCATTTGATTGTACGATGTGAATACTATTTTAATTTACTTTCTTATAACAGATAAATAAATAAAAAACGGTTTATCAAGGATTTGAACCTGCAACTTCGCGATTGCAATGGCACCCTAGTTATCACTAGACATGCAATAATTGAGAACTCTACTATCATTAAACATTAATTGGTAAATCGTTATAAATTACGGACATTATCGAAAGAAACAGTATCTGGTCAGCATTTCCAAACAACACATATAATCATAATGACAATGTCTTAGTATGGTTAACATATCTGCCTGGTGGTTTCAAATTCCTTCCATCGGCTCAAAGAATACAGAGCGGGCACGAAATTGCTAACTAACAAACAAACAAGCTAACAGGTCCATAACAATAAACGTCGATTTTTTTCGGACTACCACTCGTACTTCTTTATACGGGTGAGAGTGGTTTCGTCGAACTTCCGATAAGGCGAACTGATCCTGCATCAAAAAGAAAAACCAGGTAGTGGTTTCGGGGAACTTAATTTATGTAGTGCAAAAAATATCTCTGGTATAATGGGCATGTCAATTATCGTAGATCTTAATGTTTGGTTTATCACACATTTTCATGCAATTTAAGACAAGCTTTGAAAGCAACTTTTCAACTTGATAAATATTTGTATAAGTTTACACCAATCACACCTAAACATATGTTAAATTTGTATTAGTCACGCCTGTACCTGTAATGAATTATTGTTCTGAAGTATGGGGATTTCACAAAGCTACTCTCATATCGAAAAAGCGCATCTTAGTTTATGCAAAAGATTATTAGGTGTTAAAATAAGTTGTCAAAATGCATTTGATTATGGTGAAACCGGAAGAGTCTCTTATATTACTCATAGATTTTTGTATATAATACGGTACTGGTTAAAGTTATGTCAAAGTGATGATGTTAAATATGCAAAGAAAATGTACAATGTTTTTAAAAAGTGATCTTGAATCACATCCTAATCATATAAGTTGGGTATACAATGTAAAAAGCTTATTATCTATATTAGGATTTTATGATGTTTGGTTAAACCAAGGACTTGGTGATGCCAATATATTTTTGAATATTTTAAAGACACGATTGTACGATATATATCAACAGGACTGGAATGCAAGTTTACAGGAATCATCAAGAGCATTATTTTACAGAACAATTTCTAGTTTTATTTTTTTTTCAGAATTACTTAAATGTTTTAACTGTAGAAAAACATAGAAAATCAATGTTTGGATTGAGAATGTCATCCCATAGGTTAGAAATTGAAACAGGTAGATGGAGAAAACCTTTAAGCACACCAATTGAACAAAGAAAGTGTAAATTTTGCAATGTACTAGAGGATGAATTTCATTTCATTATTGAGTGTACACTTTACGCTGATCTTAGGCGTCAGTATATAAATAGAAATTACTGGGTTCATCCAAATTATATTAAATTTGTAGGGTTGATTAATACCACAAATGTAGTCGACATAAAGAAGTTAGCAGCTTATATTTACTATGCATTTGAAAAAAGAACATTGCTGCTGTCAACAATTTAGTTATATGTTAAAAAAAAATGTTTTGTCTCTCCCTACATGTATGTTAGTATAGAAATGAAATGTAGAAATAAATCTGTCATTGATATATGATTACCTACATGTATATCCAGTACAATATTGTTAACACCTATATAACTATATTTTATTTTCAACATTGAAGGATATATTGCTGCATGTACATGGGCCATAAATGGCTTACTACTTAATAAAAAATATTATATTATTATTTTTTTTTAGTTTACATAAAGGCATAACACAATACAAAAGATCTCATGTAGTGAACAAACAACATCATAGAAAATATATACGTATATTAATAAAACCTGAAAAAAACGAATAATTATTTAAAATTTACACAAATTACAATTCACACATTAAGTGAGACGTGTAAAATATGAAAACATTATTTATATTAATATTTCAAACTATATTTACAAATGGTAAAAGCTGAAAAAGAAGAAACAATGTTTTTAATCGGAAGAAAATCGACATATATACACAGAAAAGTAAAATCTGTAAGAGAAACAAGTAATCTAATTATATACACAAAAAACAAGACAGACAAAACATAAAAAATCCAAAATAAGAGAAATCTGTACAATGATTTTGTATGTAATAATTAAACTAATATAAACAACACATTTTTTAAATACTTTATTCATTTCTATATAAACAATTGACACATGCATATTATTAAAGAGAATACATCATGAATTCTATACATGTAATTAACAACAACAATCTTTTTTTATTCTTTATTCACAACTCTATATAGATATAAAACTTTAATTTAAACGTTTCTATTATTCATTATTTTCCTAAGTATAATAATTATATTTACATTAAAACATTAGACAATACAAAAGATCACATCATAAAAATCTATACACATATATAACATAAGGTCGACGAGAAACCACCATAATTCTCTTTATACTCCATGGAGCAATATACAATAAAGCTTCAAAACAGAATTACTTCCCTTAATTTATTAAGCGCTTCTAAGATTTCATAATCAGTTACGACCATAGGCACTCGGTTCCAAAACCTTCTATGATTTTAATTTATTTAAAAAAAAATTCATATCATGTATATAAAATACTACAAGGTTTCGCAGCCGCCATGTTTTAACGCAACGGAAGTACGTTGACTGGTGTACAATTTAAAAAAAAATACCGGCTCCCGAGTCACATATTAAAGCATATTGTTGTTGCGGGTACCACGGCGAAATAGTCAATAATTGTGGTACCCGTATTAGCCATTAGTCTCTATTCATCGAATCGGGAACTAGTGTTTTTTAATGAAAATTGTACACCAGTCAACGTACTTCCGTTGCGTTAAAACATATACTGTATATATAATATATATACAAGGGGTTGAACTCGCCAAATCGGCCGAATGCCACTAGTCCAGTATAAGTCAAAATTGCAAAGTCATTTTTACGTAAATCATATAAAGCTATATATCAAATTGCAGCTAAATGACATCACTTGACGTTGACAATTACATTATTGTTCCCACTTAAACCGTTTATGAACAACAAACCGATATTTCGGATAGGCTATCGTATTTTTGCTAGGTCGGACACGACCGTGTAACCTGTCCCCACTCGATTTTCTACGAGTAAAAAGGCAATTTCAAACCATGTCATTGTACCAACCCGCAATAAATCGATAAAACAAATTCAAAGAAACAACTTACCGCCGGAAATGGATTTTAAAATGTTTTATTACATCTGTTAACAACACATTTCTGAATGTGAAAATGAAAGTTGAAACCAGCATCCATTTGATATCACGTGACCGATTTGAAACGGATTATTTCATTGGTTGATTTAAATACGAAGCTGACATGGGTCACAGTATCGTCCGATCAAACGGCGTCTTACAACCGGAGCCGATTATGTATCATGGCTTCAAAAAAACGAAAAAAAAACGGAAGAGTAATAAAAAATAACTGAATGTTTGCTATACTTGATTGGATTTGGAACAATTTCCAGCAGTAAGTTGTTTCTTTGATTAATCTTCCATTAATTGATACTTTCATTAAGCCATTAATTGATATTTTCATTAGGCCTTTAAATAATACTTTCATTAAGGTATTAATTGATACTTTCATTAAGCAATTAATTGATACTTTCATTAGGCCTTTAATTAATACTTTCATTAAGTCATTAATTGATACTTTCATTTAACCATGTTCAATGTTATTATGGCGATAAACAAGTAATGAGGACGTTGTATTTATGCAAAAAGAGCATAGTGCAGTTAAATAACAAGGTTGACTAATTACTTTTATTATAATTATTTCAAAATTTGTGAAATTGTTAAGAAATAATCCTACCTTGTCATTACAACGTTTACATAAATATACATGTATTACGTGTTTGTATGACATAAACATATACTCTGTAAGTATGACATAAACATATACTCTGTAATGTAATTTTTTTAGTATGTAAGATTCATTAAGTATTCAAATGTTATGGCTAAAATGATTGGAGGTTGGTTGTCGAATCTTTCCCTCAGAAATGAAGAGTAAAACTTAATGATATATAAAGTCTCGGGGCTATTATTTATTTAGAGGGCCGATGAAAACCTACCGGTAAAACCTGTCATAGCTTGATAGTATAGAAAGAATGTGGCCTATAACAAAAGTAACTGTTTTCTGCAATATAGCATTACAAACGGGCATATTTTTTATAATGTTATTTATATCTTATATCTTCAGCATTGAAATCTAGAAATGATTCTTCCAATGTACCGTGTAGATCCATCTCCAGACTTGTGTCGAAACTTCGCAGCAATTTGGGTGTTTTTCTTGAGTTTATTTAAGGCGATTTATGCAGGTATTTTAATGTGACTGAAATAAAACGCCACTTTATTTTGTTTTGTACTACAGTACTGTTCATTGTAGAAATTTTTATACCATTTATCATATTCAACAAAGAATGAATTTGTTTGCATTTTATTTCTTGTATGTTTTGCTGCATTTTCTACTGCGATTGACAACACTAGTTTGTTTCATCTTGGTCAATACATTAAAATGTAGCGAAAACAATATTATGTATTTTACTGTTATATAGCTTTATGCTTATTTTTTATGTCAGTAAGGGTCGTACAATACATGTTAAGTAACTATTTGTCCTCATGTAGCACACACGATGATAAATTGTTGTTGTTGTTGTTTTTATTTTCAGAAATGATAACTACATAGCTTTTTTTTAAATTTTGACACCGACACTGTAACAAATTACATGCAGCACATATGGCAAAATAAATATATCACTACACAAATCTTCTCAATTTTCACAGATACGCCAATAACTATTACAAGTAGAACATGTGGTGAGACATACGATATGGATATGTACAAGAACACTGATGTGTATTATGACGGCTCAGATGTATTATACGAGAACCCTTGTCAAGTGCAGTTCACTAAAACGTCTTACGAGCAGTTCATCTGCATACGTGGCGACGATATTAGACTAGATTGTGGTACAGAGTTAGAATACCACGAAGATTTTGTTAAAAATTACATCAATCCTGAGGTATTACTCTGTTGTTATAATGTTTTTTTTATCATAAACGAGGTTTTAAAACTATTATGAGGTTATTACAAACCTATATTGTACAGCCGAGTCTGATAAAGGTTTTGCAGCTGTGTACGAGTCCTGCAACGCCTTTATTATTGCCAAAAATGTTTAATTCATTTATACATTTGACAAAACTTTGTATCTTCAAGTACATCAAGGAATTTATATATATAAATTGATGACCCTGAGCATAATAGTGAGGCTAGATGGAGTACGATATGTACTTAGATATTTTAGATTCTGAAAATGAGGCTACATAGGATGTGATTTGCTTTTAATATTTGTGTTTTGGACTCTGGAAATGGAAACAAGGCTAAATTGATAAGATTAAAGACAATAATGATTTGTATTTCAACATCGTGTGGTTCAAACAATGAAAGTTTATTGGTTATGTTTTATAATGTGTGATATTAATAGTAAGTATACACATGGCAGTAAAGTGGCACTTGGCTAGTACTTAATGAGATTGTGTATTTGGTTTTTGTCTGATTAAGGTATTTCGTAAATTGTAAAGTAAAAGTGAAATGTTGTCGAAAAGAAGCTAACACGATTATACTGGCCTTGTATGGTTTTGCAGGTGGAATTTTCATGTTATGATACAAAAAAGGAAGAATGGTGTCCTAGCCAGTACCAAGACAATATTTACGTTGTTATCAGGAAAGATTCGCGTCAAACGACAGATAGAATTAGACTACGAGTTTACCTCAAAGATGGTAAGCTTAAAGTTAGAATCAAACATTCAATGATTTTGTTTTTAAAAAAATATTTTTTTTTATTATGATTATCACAAAGTTGGTGACAACTGGAAGTCTAAATAACTAAACAGCTAAAATTTTAATTCTCATTTAATAATGACAAGACTTAAAAGACTTAATGCAATTATGAAGTGTATGCAAATTAAATATATGTGTTTTATACTTAGTTTTAACTCAATGGCTCAGAACCTAAAGTATTGTTTTTAAATGTGTTTTAGATGAATTAGTGAATTGTCTTAAAAACAAAGAGACTGAAACGTCTGGTTATGTGAAATGGAATTATTACTTCTTGTAAAACATACTGATTAACTCGAACTTATAAAAATATTTACAACCTTATTTATATATACAACGTACAAGTCCCATGCTTATTTCCAATTGCAAAATGATAAAACTATAACAAACATCGTAACGTTGAGCAAATCTATGTTTATAATATTAAATTTCGAACATTTACAACAAGAATATGCATATGAATGCATCTGGAATAATCATTAGATTTGTCGCATGATTATTATCCACATATATCATTTGATCTGATATATCCCATTTGAGTATAACGTAGGTTTATTTTTTGCAAGCTCCTTTGGAAGTAAGTCGAGTTGTTGCTGAATGCTTTTGTTACTGTTTCAGTGCCAGACGACGATTACCCTACAGGAAGTCTATCTGGAATTATCATTTTATATATAGCAATCCCTATCGTATTTGTTGTAATGTGTACATGCTTGGTCTTGATCATCCGCAAAAGACAATCAGCAACACGCCCTCCTGTTACATACCAAACTACATCAGGCGCAATTAATGTACAAGCAGGTGATTCGCTTTCCTTATATTGAAACGAAGTGTATTGTTGTTGTTTCTCACTGCATGATCCATTAGATAACATTTACTGCATCAGGATATTTAAATGAAGACAATGTTTAATTTCCTTTAAAACATTTAATGCTTAAATGATTTATTAAACTTTTAAGAGTCATGTTTTTTCTTACCAGCTTCTTGCTTAATCCTCGTCAACGGTGATGAATAAAATCGCTGCATTGTCAGTCCACCTGGTAGTCCCAAAATTCTGTCTTTGCTATTTCCGAGGAAAAACTTGCTAAAATTATCAAAACTTCAAAGGAAATTTTACTTTGCATGTCGGCATTAAATTAGCTAATGAAGTGTCAACAGGTGATACCCTTTAATGTCTTTGTGATGTTATTCCACAAAGTGAAATTAAAACAGTAACATTTTCAAAACGTTTGCAGCAATTTACACATTTCAAAAGAACACTAAATCAATCATGTTGCATTCATTTATGATTCGTTATCTTATTTTTTCAGAATATTCAAATAGCAAAATTGAATCCAAATATTTATTACATCGGAATAACTTTTAAACCTATACTTTGCCTCGCCGATTGCATACACTAAATGAAACAATTTTGATTTATTAAAAGAGCTTCACTGAGGTACAAATAGACGAAATACATAAAATATTATCTTTGGGGTTTAATAACTATCTGAAACAAGGAATGAATGAGCGAATGATCTAAAATTGTGCATACATGTTATAAGTACTGATCTATATCGAATGGTTAAAAAATCTCGAAAACATATTTCCAGTCCCGTCAGATGGAGTCTCTTTAGTTTTTCATTCCCTCTACACTTCCTCATTTTACAACCCCTTATCAGATGTGCTAAGCACCCATTCCTTGTTTCTAAAGACTTTGAACAACATACACAGATATGTGATCTAAAATGATTCAACAGTATTTTACTTCTTCAACTAGGTCAAATGAACCCAACACAACACAATCCTCTGCCATATCAACCGATACCGATACAGCATAGCGGACTTCAAGGAAATTACAATGTTCATCCAATGCAAAGTGCGTATCCAGTGCAAGCTGCCAGACAGAATCCTTATTCTCATCAGGGAAACACAGGACAAAATTATAGCAGTGGTACAGTTACATATTTTATATTCTCATTTCTTTATGGATAGAGCTTTGCAATTTTTGGTCATGAGATATCGGCTCCACGTCATGTTTCGAGTGAATGCCTAAAATCTTCCTCTCCGCTAACTTAGTCAAGCATGAGGAAGTCAATGAGGTAACATATCCATAAACAGTTATTTTACTTTCGTTTTGCTACAAATTCTTGCACAAAGTGGATAAAAACATGTTTCTTTATTTTCTATTTTAGATAACTCAAAGGCTATGTTTTAAGCAAAAGATCTTTTTAATGTTCTTTAAGTTTTAAAAACTACAGATGGTCCAGCTATCTATCCTATTTCATTTGCAAATAATTATGCTTGTTATGTCGCCTTGAAAATTTATTTCTATTTTGTTATATCTCATAATAATAGTAATACAGCAATGTCTTAACCTTTAGTCGTAGACGATATAGATTGCAATCAATTGCTACTACCACTGCCATGAACAGGCTCAATCAAAACTTTTGCTAAATGGAATCTTTTTTACCATATTTTAAATTTGCAACTTATTTTTACAAGACAGCTGACATTATGTATTAAATTGTCTAATGTTTTACAAACTAATTGCCTACACTTAACCAATGAAACAAGTGTTATAACCTGCAGATTTAAATAAATGTTCTTGTATACGTATCTCGCTTGTTTTTCAGCGCCGCCGATTGACCCTAGTGCCCCACCACCTCCGTATGAAAGTGTTATCAGCCAAAAGCATTGAAGAACTTGACGTTCTAGGTTCAACTCTGTATTATCCTTCCATATACATGTATATGTAAAAGCGTATATTTTGTAAAAGACATGCGTAATCGATGAGAAAATGATAACGATTTTTTGCACAGAACTTAAAAATTGTTTGATGTAAAATGATGCTACTCTATGGTGGCTTTTAAATTAAGTTTTATTATCATTGCAGCAAGTTTATTCGGGATTATTTAGAAAACATTTGGTCGTTTTTTTGTTTTTTAGAATACACAGATGCAAAAAAAAATTTCTATGGAGTTTTCTTGACACAAAAACAATGCACTTAATCAATTATTAGCCTTATTGCCAATCGTGATCAAAATGGGACAGATACTGAAATATTCTAGCAAAACAAAAAAGCAAAACATTCTGATTGTGTCGAATTATTTTGAGTTGCGTGAATTTTACATATTTATCATACATAAGGTGATTCTTTACAAGTGACTTTCCACGCACTTTTGGACAAGCAATGAAGGCATTGTATAACCCTGTAATTAAATAAATAGTTATTAACATTTCACTGAATGCCAGGTAAATATAAACCAGATCTTTCTGATAATCTTATTTTAACAGTTCTAAACTATTGATCACAAGATTTTGGATAACTTAATAGTCATATCTTAGAAAAAGATTTTTTAAAGTTTTTTATTACGTTTTAAGTATTAGAAGAAACTGTTGTAGAAACACACAAAATAATGTTGTACAATGTGAACTAGAGTGAAATTAAGATAACAATTAAGAGCTGTAAATGTTATTAAATAGGTCTACTGGTGTCAAGAAGTACAAATGTGTGTATGACTATGTCTAGAGACCAAATGAAATGTTATGAGGTTTTCAGTAACGCGTTTGTTACAATCTACATATTTCAAAATATGTAAAATATCTTGATAACATTATACATAATAAAACAAAGATAAAGTGATACATAGATACACTAATCTATATACAGAATCAAGAGACTTAATAAAACCACGAAGTTAATTTGGCTTACAATCATACTTGCCAATGACAAATAATTGAACATTTTAGGAAATCTATATCATGTTTCAAAATGACTTCGCATATATTATGGCTTGACATAGTTCAAAGATAGAACCAGGCTGATGACATAAACAGGAATCCACTACTTACCTATAATGAAATAGATTGTAATATTTGTTCTGAATTAGAAAATGCATTTTATGCCTTATTGGAATATCCCATGTAAAATGATTTGTGAAAATAAAATATAAATAAATATTTTTGGAAGAGACCAAATATGCCAAAATTTAATAAATTTAACATCACAAAATGAAAATGTTACATGAGTTATCAAAGTTTATCTGTCTATCTTTAAAATGTTTGAATGAAGAACAAATATTGATGACGCAAAATTTTCATTTAGTACGTAAATATGATGATAATTTATTGATATTAAATGAAATACATGTGATTTCATACCTACTGTTGTGATATTGTTGTTGCTTTTCTTTTTAAATTGGACTTTGTTGTCCATTAAATGTCAGAAATTGATATTTACATTGTAGTCTGAGTCTTTAATGTTAACTTATGAATTATGTTCCGTTGTGTTTTATTTATGATCCTTTGATAAAACAAAATATTATATCCTTTATTTATCCATTTATTTTATTTATCCCGTGTGTTCTTATTTGTTTTATAAGGGTTTTATGTTTTTGTATGTATTTATAGCACATTTTAGTACAAAAATAAAGGTTTACAATACAAGTTACTTTATTTGAATTAGTATTGACTATTAAAGAATAGCAATATTTTCTATGAATGCACAAAAGTGCATAAATATACAAATATCGACTTATATAGTATTTAGCAAAAACGGCATGGCTTTCCGATGTAACCGACAACAATCATACATTAGTGTCAGTACCAGTACTTTCACACTTAATATTCATCATCAATTAATGTGAGTTGCAACTTTTATCCTCTCATTTCGTTCAGATATATTTTGCTATCTTCTGGTCCACGAATTGGCGTAGAGTATCGACCTTTTCAGTTCTCTTTTTCAGTTCGTTGAATTTTCTGGTCCGTCATAATAACTGATTACTATACACACCTTGTGTTACTCTATATGGAATATGAAATAGTGCTGAAAATGATGAAAGGAGACGTGAGATAATCCTGTTGTTTCATTTTCATTCTTTCATTGACGGATCTGATCAAACAGATACTGCAAATCTCCACCTGGTTTAGTTTTGTTTTCATTACTTTAAGAGATGTCCATACATTTTCATATTCTTGACAGAGTTACTAAGATATATGTATCTCGAAACTATTTGTCCCTCATGCTGTGGCTTAGACTCCCGTCAGGAACTTTTGATTCTTTCGTGTGATGAAGCAATCCAGCAAGGTTACGTGACGTTGGTTCTACTCGGGTGCTCGTTTCTGCCTATAGGCATTTGATGTTTTCCTTTAGCAAAATTCGCATTGCTTTGTTTGTAAAATTTGGTGAAAATGTATTTCGGGTGTTAAGCGGGTGTTTGATGTAGGACTTTTGGGACGGTCTCGAACGATTCCATACGAATTATATACGATTTTGACACGATTGGGCGCTCGCAAACTTAAATACCCTATCACTTTTTAACAGAAAAACATTTTTGAAGGTATGGTTTGGAATATTTATTGACAAAATGTTGACGTTTAAGAATCGTATAATAAAAGGATTTATCATGAGAAAATATAAGTTTCTGTGACTTAAAAAAATGCCGCATCTCATCAAAAAGTATGGTCATTTTCAGTCAAAATTCACGTGAAGTAAAGCTTGCACAGGGTCAGAAATTTGTTAACATGCTCCAATGGATGTTGACTATGAATCCATAACTTTGATTTACTCGAACACATTTGGGATATGTTAAAAATAGATGAATACTTACCGTCCGTCAATTGTGTTTTCTGCGCCGACATGAATATACTGGTACGGCTGTCAACGGTTGAACGGATGTCTGCCCATTTAATTGTACGGTGTGAATAAGATTTTAATTTACTTTCTTATAACAGATATAAATGAAAAAAGACGGTTTATCGAGGATTCGAACCTGCAACTTCGCGGCTGCAATGCCATCCTAGTTATCACTAGATATCGGTCGTTAATATGCATATGCAAGAATTGAGAACTCTACTATCATTTAACATTAATGGGTAAATTGTAATGTATTACGGAAACTATCGAAAGAATTAGTATCTGGTCAATATTGCCAAACAACACATATATAATGACAATGTCTTAGTATGGTTAACATAATTATCTGCCTGGTCGTTTCAAATTCCATCCATCGGCTCAAAGGATACAGAGCGGGCACGAAATTGCTAACTAGTCTAACAGACAAATAAGCTAACAGGTCCATAACAATAAACGCCGATTTTTTTCGGATTACCATAATTATACTCCATGGAGCAATATACAATAAAGCTTTAAAACAGGATTACTTCCCTTAGTTTATTAAGCGCTTCTAAGATTTCATAATCAGTTACGACATACTTTACTATCGGATTTGATACGGGAGATATAACTACATTCGCTAATTTTATTATGGTAAATTAGATTTTAGATAAACAATTATCTTGATTAGATGATATAATACGCTTATGATTTGTGTTAACATTTACAATAGCTATATATAGAACATCCTCGGTGGCTCAGGCTATTTACCGTATACCAGTATTAAATGTAGTATATACGGAATGTGTACCGTGGGTTCCGACTGGTTACATGTAAACTTGTCAATTAACAGTTTGATTCATGTTTATTCTTACTTAGACATAAACTGTACCAAGGTGACCTATATCTTGCTCAGTACTCACTTCAGTACTGTAAGTGTTATATTAATATGAAATATATTAATTTTGTTTTTGTTTTTGAAACAGCAGGTGTATATAGGGCCTACTTTGAATATTATTTTTCTATAACAAATTTTGTTCAGAGATTTAATCCCATTGGAAAATTTACACCAAGCGTGTCGATATCGGCATATTAAACCCACTTACTAGTTTTAAAGTTTTAAATGCAAGAATAGATAAACCTTGCGAAGTAATGTCTGGTGAATATGAGCGTAACAAAACAGTATGAATATGTTTATTTGTTTGTAAAATATACTAACATACATTTACCTTTTTTTTTTACTTTTTTCATACGGTGAAGAATATTTCATTTGCCAGTAGTCTACATTGGTTATAACAGCTTTATAAGTGTATTTCATATTCGGTATTGATTTAGAATATTGACAGAAATATCTCCAAGTTTATGTTGCTGTATCGATTGTGTATCTTATGGCCTTTTATGCTACAAAACTTAAATACGGTAAAATAATCTTGTTTCTTTAACCTTTTCACATGTAGACCGTTTTAACAGTTATGTAGGTAAACTGTATAAAATAAAAATGTCCCGGAATAAAATTTTATGCAGGTAGCTTTTAAAAAGACGGATTTAAAACTTAAATAGAAATGATTTTATGCACTCGCTTGTCACTAATTAGGAAATATACCAACATATTTCTTTTAAACATGTATTTTAGAGTGATTCAACTTCATTCAGCTGTCAAGATCTATATGACTTTACACTTTTAAATTGATACTTTCATTTAGCTATTAATTGATACTTTCATTAATCCATGTTCAAGGTTATTATGGCGATAAACAAGTAATGAAGACGATGTATTTATGCAAAAAGAGCATATTGCTGTTAAATAACATGGTTGACTTATTACTTTTATTATAATTATTTCCAAATTTGTGAAATTAAGAAATAATCCTACCTTAACGTTTACATAAATATACATGTATTACGTGTTTGTATGACAGATTAGTTTTTTAAACATATACTCTGCAATGAAATTCCTTAGTATATAAGATGAATAACTATTCCATTTAATGGTTAAGAAATGATCAGTCGTTGGTTGTCGAACGTTCCCTCAAAGATGAAGAGTAAAATTTAATGATATATAAAGTCTCGGGGCCATTATTTATTTAGAGGACTGATTATAACTACCGGTCTAACCTATTGTGTATTAATCTCTTAATAGCTTGATAGTATAGAAAGAACATGGCCTATAATAAAAGTAACTGTTTTCTGTAATATTAAATAACGAACTGGCATATTCTATTTTTTATAATGCTATATATAAATATCTTATATCTTCAGCATTGAAATCTAGAAATGATTCTTCCAATATACCGTGTAGATCCATCTCCAGGCATGTGTCGAATCTTCGCAGCAATTTGGATGTTTTTCTTGTGTATATTTAAGGCGATTAATGCAGGTATTCTAATGTGACTGAAATAAAACGCCTTTTTCATTTGTTTTGTTCTACTTTTCATAGTAGAATTTTTTATACCATTTAACATATTCATCAAAGAATGACATTGTTCGCATTTTATTTCCTGTATGTTTTGCTGCATTTTCTACTGCGATGGACAACACTAGTTTGTTTCATTTCGGTCAATACATTTTAAAATGTAGCGAACACAATATTATGTATTTTATAGCTTCATGCTTATGTTTTAGGTCAGTTAGGGTCGTACAATACTTGTTTAGTAACTATTTGTCCTCATGTAGCACACACGATGATTAATTGTTGTTGTTGTTTTTATTTTCAGAAATGATAACTACATGGTTTTTTTTAAATTTTGACACTGACACTGTAGCAAATTACATGCAGTACATATGGAAAGATAAATATATCACTACACAAATCTTCTCAATTTTCACAGATACGCCAATAACTATTACAAGTAGAACATGTGGTGAGACATACGATATGGATATGTACAAGAACACTGATGTGTATTATGACGGCTCAGATGTATTACACGAGAACCCTTGTCACGTGCAGTTCACTAAAAGTTCTTACGAGCAGTTCATCTGCATACGTGGCGACGATATTAGACTAGATTGTGATACAGAGTTAGAATACCACGAAGCTTTTGTTAAAAATTACATCGATCCTGAGGTATAACTATATGTTGTTATAATGTTTTTTTTATCATAAACGAGGTTTTAAAACTATTAAGATTTTATTACAAACCTATATTGTACAGCCGTGTCTGAGAAATATTTTGCAGCTGTGTAGCAGTCCTGCAAAACATTTATTATTCCAAACAATGTTTAACTCATGTATACATTTGACAAAACTTTGTATCTTCAAGTACATCAAGGAATTTATATATATAAATTGATGACCCTGAGCATGATAGTGAGGCTAGATGGAGTACGATATGTATTTGATATAGATATTTTAGATTCTGAAAATGAGGCTACATAGGATGTGATTTGCTTTTAATATTTGTGTTTTGGACTCTGGAAATGGTAACAAGGCTAAATTGATAAGATTGAAGACGATAATGATTTGTATTTCAACATCGTGTGGTTCAAACGATGAAAGTTTATTGGTTATGTTTTATAATGTGTGATATTAATAGTAAGTGTACACATGGCAGTAAAGTGGCACTTTGCTAGAACTTAATGAGATTGTGTATTTCGTTTTTGTCTGATTAAGGTATTATGTAAATTGTAAAGTAAAAGTAAAATGTTGTCCACAATCATACTGGCCTTGTATGGTTTTGCAGGTGGAAATGTCATGTTATGATACAAAAAAGGAAGAATGGTGTCCTAGCCAGTACCAAGACAATATTTACGTTGTTATCAGGAAAGATTCGCGTCAAACGACAGATAGAATAAGACTACGAGTTTACCTCAAAGATGGTAGGCTTAAGTTAGAATCAAACATTCAAAGATTTATTTAAAAAAACCATATTCTTTTTTATTATGATTATCACAAAGTTGGTGACGACTGGAAGTCTAAATAACTAAACAGCTAAAATTGTAATTCTCATTTAATAATGACAAGACTTAAAAGACTTAATGCAATTATGAAGTGTATGCAAATTAAATATATGTGTTTTATACTTAGTTTTAACTCAATGGCTCAGAACCTAAAGTATTGTTTTTAAATGTGTTCGTGTTTTAGATGAATTAGTTAATTATTGTCTTAAAAACAAAGAGACTGAAACGTCTGGTTATGTGAAATGGAATTATTACTTCTTGTAAAACATACTGATAAACTCGAACTTATAAAAATATTAACAACCTTATTTATATATACAAGTCCCATGCTTATTTCCAATTGCAAAATGATAAAACTATAACAAACATCGTAACGTTGAGCAAATCTATGTTTATAATATTAAATTTCGAACATTTACAAGGAAGAATATGCATATAAATGCATCTGGAATAATCATTAGATTTGTCGCATGATTATTATCCACATATATCATTTGATCTGATATATCCCATTTGAGTATAACGTAGGTTTATTTTTTGCAAGCTCCTTTGGAAGTCGAGTTGTTGCTGAATGCTTTTGTTATTGTTTCAGTGCCGGACGACGATTACCCTACAGGAAGTCTATCTGGAATGATCATTATATATATAGCAATCCCTATCGTATTTGTTGTAATGTGTACATGCTTGGTCTTGATCATCCGCAAAAAACAAAAAGCAACACGCCCTCCTGTTACATACCAAACTACATCAGGCGCAATTAATGTACAAGCAGGTGATACGCTTTCCTTATATTGAAACGAAGTGTATTGTTGTTGTTGTTGTTCAATGCATGAACCATTAGACCATACATTTACTGCATCAGGATATTTAAAGATCATGCCACTCAATTTTTAGAAATATTTAGGTAATTAGAAAAAAAGAATAGTTTCTATAAAGTCAAGATTTCAATAAGAAATGAATGCATATATTTGTATGATTACATATAATGTGGACAAATATTTGCAGTTCATATTTTACATATTCTTTGGTGTTCGAAAATTGTGTGAGAAGCCTAATAATATACATATATACAGATTTTCTCTTAATTGTGGTAAAGCATAGAGGATCTTTAATTGAAGATAATGCTTCATTTCCTTTAAAAACATTTAATGCTTAAATGATTTAATAAACTTTTAAGAGTCATGTTTTTCGTACCAGCTACCTACTTTATCCTCATCAGGTGATGCATATAATCGCTGCATTGTTAGTCCGTCTGGTAGTCCCGAAATTCTGTCTTGGCTATTTCCCAGTATTTTATTTAAATTACTTGCTAAAAATTATTGTCACGGATATACGTGAGTTTTCACTCGGGAGGATAGTGCGTTCAAAGAGGAACCTGTAAATATATTGTTGGTACACAATAAGATAGAAATACGGAGTCAATGAAAAAAACAACAGCTCTCGCTTAAAGTTCTCATTTCTTGTGCTATTGATAATTCCAAGCGAAATACATACACATATCATAGTAATTCATGTTTACAACGTTTATAACATCAAAAAATACTTGTAAGTATATTGTTGGCACACAATAAGATAGAACTACGGAGTCAATGAGAAAAACAACAGCTCTCGCTAAAAGTTCTCATTTCTTGTGCGCATGCGTAAAGGTTAGCGTGACCGAATTCAAAAATGAAGTGAATGAGGCCCGTCAACGTGTTACAGGTCAAATGAAGTTATTAGTATGAAGTTGAATAATGATATGAATGATTGAAAAAGAGACGATAGGGGAATGGTAAAGAGTATGGGTATGTAATACAGAGTATTCTAGTAAAGACAAAATGACCATGTGACATTATCAAACCTTCAAAGGAAACTTTACTTTGCATGTCGGTGTTATATTCCAGCTGATGAAGTTTACGTAGGTGATACCCTTATATGCATTTGTGATGTTTTTCAACAAAGTGAAATTAAAACAGTAACATTTACATAACGTTTGCAGGAATTAACAACTTCCAAAAGAACACTAAATCATTAATGTTGCATTCATTTATGATTCATTGTCTTATTTTTCCGAATATTCAAATAGCAAAATTGAATACAAATATTTATTACATCGATAAAACGTTTAAACTTTTACTTTGCCTAAACTATCTGACACAAGGAATGAATGAGCGAATGATATAAAATTGTGCACACATGTTATAAGTATTGATCTATATCGAATGGTTAATAAATCTCGTAAACATATTTCCAGTCCCGTCAGATGGAGTCTCTTTAGTTTTTCATTCCCTCTACACTTCCTCATTTAACAACTCCTTATCTCATGTGCTAAGCACCCATTGCTTGTTTCTGATAGTTTTTTAACTGTCGTATAGCTGGTTGCACAGGCTAATTAGTCATACATGCTATATTCAAAAAGAATGACAAGTCAACATGTATATACATATATTAGGGTTTTTATTTCTTAATGTGCACTATGGAACATGACATGATTTATGAGTATTATAGTGCAGGAGATGCATACGTACTAGCTTATGTCAAGATGATTTATATATGTAACTCTAAAACGTGTGTATTCATATACATTATAAAATGTCCTTAGGACAAGTTGATATTATATATACTATTCTCAAATGTCAGAGTAGGGGAGTTCAGTTTTGGTATTCAACTCGTTCACATGTGTGTTTGTATTTGTATATTAAAAGTATGTAACATCCGTGAGTTCTTTCTACGTTATACGACAACGGTTGATTTGGCGCCTAAGACCAGCGATGTCGAAGCGACGATTTTGCACAGCGGGACACAACGAAGTACCTGAAATAGAAAATTAAAGGTGAGTGATCGTTTATATACCTGTAGTTTGCTAATTTTGAAGATGTCAGATCAAGATATAGCTACAATTTTTGAAAATTTGTCAGATAAATTGAACAATATTTCAACTATCATAGGTACACAGGGTTTATCAGAAATAGTACAAAATTTTGATGGAAATTCTAAATATTTTAATGACTGGATAAAATCTATAGAAAAATATGCTATTTTAAAAGGTTTGGATGATAATAAAATAAAATTAGTCGCATTTCAATCAAGTAAAGGGACTGTAAGCGATTTTATATGTAGATATTTGCGTGAAAATCCTCGTAATTCGTGGAAACAATTAAAAGGAGAAATAAGTACTAGATTTGGGGAAATTAAAGATTTACATCATGAATTTTATCTTTTGAGAAATTTAAAACAAGATTTGGGAGAAAGTGTTCAAATTTTTGGGGAAAAATTTATTAATTGTGCTGAAACCGCTTATGAAAATTATAAACTAGGAGATAATAGTTTAATTGAACTTCAGTTAGTAGAATTGTTTACGGATAATTTAGCGCATAATTATTTAAAACTTAAACTTATGAGAGAAAAGCCAAAAACTTTACAAGAAGCAATTACTTGCGCAATGAATGAACAGAATTTCAGAGCTAGATTTTCTGCCAGAGTAAAATTTTCTAATTCTCAAAATCACGCAAAATACAATAATTACAGAGCAAATAATTCTAATCATTATTATACAAGAAATTTTTGCGTGTACTGTAAGAGACCAGGTCACCATGTGCGTAATTGTAGATTTAGGAAAAATGAAATATATTCTGTATTTCACCGACAAAATTTTTCACGATTTAGGAAAAATAATAGCAATAATAGTTTGAAATCAAAGATTAAGTGCTGGAAATGTAATAATTTTGGTCATATTATGCGTGAATGTCGTAAACAAAATTTTTACGACAGAAACAAAATAAATTTTCAGGAAAACTAGCAAGTTCCTGTCACAAAGGGGTCATTGACAGGAACGATAAAATACCAAAATTTAGTATAGCATTAGCTGGAAGCCCTAATTCGTGTTTGATTAAAATAGAAAACTATAAATACAGATCGTTAGTAGATTCAGGTGCTGAAGTTTGTCTTCTGCATCGCAGAATATATAGAAAATTGAAGAATCCCCCTCAACTTATAAAACAGAAAATAAATTTATGTTCAGTTGACGGAAATTATTTACATATAGATGGTTATATAAATCTAAATTTTCAAATAGGGAAAACAGAAACAACTCAAAAATTCTATGTTGTTTCTAAAATGAATAGAAATATTATTTTAGGCCGTGATTGGTTAACACAAAATGGTGTTAGATTATATTTTGATTTAGGCTGCTTAAGAGTTAATAATACATATGTACCCCTCGAAGAAGATATTCATATTGCATCAATTGTTAGATTAAAGCAGGATGTTATTCTGAAACCTCAAACGGTTAATGTGTGCACTGCTAAATTAAAACAAAATCCAGGATTGGAAAATGATAAAATATATGAATTAAAAAGTATAGAAACTGGAATGATTGCTTCTGAACCAGGTCTTATGATAACAAATTCTGTTATGAAACTTTCAGCTGATAGAAGATTTCCTATTATGATTGTCAACAATACGCATAAAACTATAAGATTGAAACGAGATTCAGTAGTTGCTAAAGTTTCAGAAGTTGAGAGCATTAACTCGGTCACAGAGGCTCTTCAAACAACTTCCCCTCTTAACAACGATTTCGAACATGATATTCATACACCTTCAGAGCATTTTAATATTGTTAGAGACTTATTAAGAAAAAATAAAAATATTTTCGCAAATAAAGATTCTGAATTATCACAGACAGATACTGTAACCATGAAAATACCAACAGGTAATCATCCTCCAATCAAATTACGCCCATATCGCACACCTTTAAACAATAGAAAATTTATGAGTGACGCAATCGATGAGATGTTAGATGCTAATATTATAAGAAGAAGTCATAGCCCTTATTCATTTCCTGTTGTTATTGTCGGGAAACGTGACGGCAGTAAACGGTTTTGTGTTGATTTTAGACAATTGAATAAAATTACAAAGCCAACATCATATCCTCTCCCATTAATTGACGATATTTTAACACTACTAGGGTCTTCAAAATATTTTACAACACTAGACATGCGATCAGGGTTTTGGCAGATACCCGTGCATGAATCAGACAAGGAAAAAAACGGCTTTTACGACATTCCGAGGCTTGTTTGAGTTCAACCGAACACCTTTTGGCCTAGTTTCTGCCCCTGGAGTTTTCCAAGAACTCATGTCACATGTCTTACAAGGTTTAGAGGCATTTGCTGTCAGTTATCTTGACGACATTCTAAATATTTTCGAAGTCATTAAATGAACATTTATCACATATACAGACAGTATTTTCAAAAGCTTAAAGAGCATAAATTAAAACTTAAACTGAAAAAGTGCAGTTTTATTCAGCAACAAACAAAGTACCTTGGTTTTATAATTGATCATGAAGGTATAAAACCAGACCAGAAAAAGTAAAAGCTATTAGGTCACTTCCGGTACCAAAATGTGTTAAAGATGTCAGATCTTTACTTGGTGCTGCTGGTTTTTATAGAAGATTTTGCCCTAAATATTCTAAAATTGTTGAACCTCTAATTAATCTTACAAGAAAACGTGTTTTGTTTAAATGGACAAAAGAATGTCAAGAAAGTTTTGAACAATTAAAGAAAATGTTAAACACGTATTCCACTTTTAGCATTCCCAGACCCAAATAAGCCTTATATTTTATACACGGACTCCTCAGATTTAGTGGTCGGAGCATGTTTAAGTCAGAAATGTGACAAATCTGGAATTGAAAAACCTATATACTTCTTATCTCATAAATTAAGTGAATCTCAAAGAAAATACAGTACCATAGAAAAAGAAGCATTCAGTATTCATTATGCGTTACAAAAAATTAGA